TTACTGCCACGTTTTTTTTTTTTTTTTTTTTTTTCTTCAATTCGTGTTCAACATAAATATATCCCCAACTTTTCTTTTTTTGCGTAATGTGAAAAGTAACGAATAGTCAAGAACACTGAATGTTATGTTAACGGAGTTATATTTCCTCCTTATGACGACAAATTGCATCAGTTTTTTCTTTTATTTCCCCCATTAATGGGAAGAGGAAAGGATGCTATAAAAAGGAGGCATTTTCCCCGTTGACGTGAGTGAACAATTCCATGCGTTTGGTGATAGCAAAAGTTGGGGAAAACACCAAAGTCGGAGAAAGTGACCAACGCGGTACAGGTTTAACAATTTGCGTGACGATTTACGACGCGGCTTACAGAAGTGGGGACGTGCCCCATATGCAGACAACATAATCGCACAATGGTGTATCAATGAAAATTCAATTTTGTCAACAACATAAAAAAAAAAAAAAATGAGGACATCTCCACGAGGAGAACAGAGGCAGCTGATTTAAATTAACTGTCATACATTCAATAATAGCTCTCTAAACTGGTGGGCCACTCGTAGAGCGAGAAAACCCTGCCGTACGGCTCCACCAATATCCCATTTGGCATCAACAGGGAGACGTAAAGATGAAGCCGAATAGTCAGCGCCCACCCCAAAACAACGACAGCTACCGAAATAACACACCAGATAATGACAAAAGTGTAAGCAATGAACATTCCCCCAGCTACGCGCTGACCAGTAACAATGCGAACAGGTTCGCCAGGAGTATGGAGGACAGGAGTCACAGTCCATCCAATGGCACACCCATGAGTCAGAGCAACACACGGGGAAGTACAAATAATAATGTTGTGAAAAATATGTCCACATCATCCCCCATTAATTATGCCCTAAATAACCACACGTTTTACAACCCACACAATATGCTCTATAGTAACAATGGCTTGAGCAAGAATGGGTATGGAAATGCGAACAGCCAGCCATTGATGCATAATGTGACGATGGTACCTGCTATGAGGAAGACGAGTGACAGTTTAGTCCACGACATGAATGACTCTTTGAAGAAACCCTTCCTTGCTGTGAATTATAAAAATTTTCCTAGTAACATGAAAGGACGGCCAGATGACAATGTGGGAAACTTATCCCAAATTACTTATCGCAATGTAATACAAAATAAAAATGAGGCAATTGCAAAAGATGGACTCATGGCACCTGACATGAGCAGTAATGCTAATGGGGGCACCACACACAACATCAACAATGTTAATAATTTAAGTAGAATAAACGCGGTAGATTTTATTACTCGTGTGAATAAGCCTGGTCAGTTCAATAATATAATGGCGAGGAACAGTGGCCAGATCAACAGTGCTCCTTCTAGCGCTGGCAAGGCATTTTCAAATATGAGCAACATGCATGGGAGTATGAATATGTATCATGTGAAAAATGTTATAGGTGGTGATGTGAGCAATGGTGTTCCTGATGTTATGCTCACCAGTGGGAATAAGCTAAACGATGGCACCCCTGGAAATGTAAATAAAGGCGTACGCCATGTGAGCAATAGTCTCAAGATGAACATGGCCCCCTTCGGCGCTGCCCACGGTTATCCTCTCATGGGAGGTAGCAACGGTGGGAGGCTCAAAGCGCATATAGTAAGCGGCATGAGCGGTAGCATGCATGTCACTATGAACAGTGGCCCCCCTAGCTACGGCTCCAGCAGCAGGGGACAGATGAGCCCAAATGCTGGCTCCAATGAACAGAATGTGAATCTTCTAAACAGTAAAAGTTTCTTGCCAAGCGCAGGAACTATCCCTGTAGTACAAGACAAGAATGATGCGACCCCCAAGTATGACGCCAATAACCTCCAAGGAGATAAAGCAGAAAATGGAACAAGTAACAACTTTGTAGGTGACCTGAAAGAGGACACCACTTCCGTGTTGAATAATAATACGGTTTCTTCGGAGAAACCGAAAAAGAGAAAGAGAAAGGAGAAAGGCAACGAGCAGGGGACGGAACAGGACACCTCCCCCAAGGGTACCAAAAGGAAAAGCAAAAATACGCAAAATGACGCTGAACCGATTATGTTAGCGAATAGAGATGCGAATAGCGATGCGAATGCTTTACAGGATGTGGCGAGTAGCCAGTTGGATAAGCCCATAGAAAATTCGAGGAACGGTGCAGAAATGATTAACGATCCATTGAAAGGCCAAAAGGCGAAGAGGAAGCCAAAAGTGAATAATGCGGAGAAGACAAAAGGTGACGAAAAAAAAAGAAAAAAAAAAGGGATGGAATCAACAAATGCAGAAAGTAGTTATCCATTGGGGCAACAAAACAGCGAGGTGGGTGAGGCAAATGAATATCTTACTGAGGATCGAAACGGATTCTACATCAGTTCGAGTGTGGCACAAGACAATATGAACAATGGTATGATGAGTACCTACGGAAGTGGTAACCATTTGAATAACCCCATTAGCACAGCCCCTCGAAGTGACTACTACAACAGTTTTAATCAAGACAGACTAGCGGAAGTACCTGGCGTACGTAGCAGCTGGGGTGGAAGAGATAATATAAAAATGATGAATGGCAACCAGATAGACAGTACAGTTAACTCTAACATTGTACAAGGGGTTAGGTACAATTCCATCGTGTCTAACGGTAACACCAGTATGAAGGATTTCATGAATGAACAGTTTAGAGAAAATAATAATGCGCAGATCTTACGCGATGCACACATGAATAATGGTGCCCAGAGAACTACACACAGTTACATGGGAGTCGACGGGAACAAGAAGATGAATGACAATTTACCCCACATGGTAGTTGAAAAGGGAAACAACGAAATGTATAAGAAGGAGCAGTTTTTACAGGTGGAGCAATTATTAAGGAAGGATCAAATGAATATTGACCCCAAATTTGTTTGGCTCTTTTTAAATAAAGAATTTAATGAAAATAAAAATAAGTATGCTGGTTTTTTGCCCCTGTTTAATAGTTGCTACCCGAATAAGCTGAACGAGTTGATTCGCAAGTTAGAGGAGTACTCCTTGACAAGCTATGCACATGTTATGAGTGGTGCGCACGCGTTGCAGAGGAAGTACTGGGGAGGCTTTGGCCCCGGCGTGGTAGCAACTGGGCAAAATGCCTCGAACGTGACGAGTTTCGCTAATGTGGCAAATGCGGCGAATGCAGCTAATACGGTGCCGTGCTCGAGTAGTGGGTACAGCGACGGCCACATCGACAATAAGCTACTGAACAATATAAATAGCAATTTTAATGAGCTGATAAAAAACTTTAGCATTGAAAATGGGGTCGCTCCAAACGCCCCTGTTGGGGAGGTCGAGAACCAAGGGCAGGGAAGGAGGCGCAGAAAGAGTGATAACAATGCTGGGAAGCCGAAGAAGGAGGGCATCCCGAAGGAAAAAAAACGTGCGAAGAAAGGCTCGACCGCCGAGAATGACAGCGGTGCGAAAGTGGACAGCAGCGTGAAGGCGGAGGAATGCATTAACCAAGAGAGCATTGCCAACATGGAAAGCAGCGTGAGGAACTGTGAAAGTAGCATCAACCCGGATGATACACTCAACTACGAAAACGACAAGGATAATGTGACGAAGAAGCCGAGTGAGACAGGAAACAACAGCTACTTTGTCAATACGAATGGGTCCATCGTGAGTGAAAACGCCAGTGATGTGGTGAACCTTATTCTGAAGAGTGACATAGGCAACACAGAAACGGACCTCATAAACAATAAAAATGAATGCGACTCTGTTTATAAAGGAAACGAAAATTCAATTGGGAATGGAATGACCAACGTATGTGACACCATTAGTTATGAAGGGAAATCTCAAAAGGATGAAAATGATCTGAACAACCCTGGTGGCACTTTAAATGATATGAACACTTCAGGAAAAAATGTAAAAGTGAAAAAGTATAGGAAAAAAAAAGATAATAATAATTTGGCTTCAGAAGATAAAGGAGATGTACCCACATCTGCATTGGACAGCAGCACCTGCATGGAACATGAGAAGAAAAAGAGAAAAAAAAAGAATGACCCGCTCAATAACAATGAGCATACAATAAATGCCCCAAATGGGGTTAGCATTATTTCTGAGAACGGCCACATGAACTTGTTGAGAGACCCATCTGTTGAGGTGGAACGAAACGAAAACTCGATTGAACACAAGTATCCAAATGGTGTGGAAGGTTCGTGTGCAGGTGATAATGATGACCTGTCGGCGACGTATTTGCTAAATTGCATGGTCGAGGATTACAATAAGGAGATGAGCAAAAGGAAAAAAAAAGGCAGCAACAAGGATCCCACTGAGTCCAAGAAAAAGGCTACAATGAAGGAAGTGGTAAAAAAAGAGAAGCCAGATGGTAGGGGAAAACACAGGACGAAGAAAATGCTCGAGGTCGGGGAACAACAAGAGGAAGCAGAAGAAGAAAAAAAAAAAAAGAGAGAAGAAGAGGAAAAAAGGCTGATTGAGAGGATCCAGAATAGGGGAATGTACGCCCTACAATATGAAGGTAGTGGGCATAATTACAAACCGTATAATTACCACAATTCCAATTTTGTCGCGAGAAGAAGCAAATGTTTGAAGAAACATTTCCTTCAAGAAGACAATATGCTCTACCCCCACATGAAGGGTACCCATGTTAAAAAAAACTTAAGGAAAAATATGAGATTAAATGCGATTAATGCTATTAAGAAGAAATACAAGCGGTTCAACTTTTGTGTGAATAAGGTGTTTAGAAAAAACAACATAAATGATATAATCGCCTTAAACGAAAATTTAAATAATAATAAAGAACTTTTGTTCTTGTTCAAAAAGAAGGATGTACGTAACTTAAAAAGATTGAACTTCTCCTACTTTATGGGTAAATTGGAGCTAGAAAAAATTGACATGATTATAATGAAGAGAATACACATATGCGCACAAAATATAAGGAACAATTTAGGTTTTACCTGCGTTATAAATAACGTGGAAAATATTGTGGATGTGTTGAAGAAAGCCTTTAGAGATCGGCTGCAGTTGATGTGGCCACTGATTGAATTTTCTAGCAAGTACAGGCTGGACCAGTACTTCCACCTGTTGACAAAGAACAGGAACAGTTCACAGTCTAGGTTTAAGGAAACACGGCTATTCGTGCATCAGGTGGGTTTCTTGTTTTTTTTTTCCACTGCAGACTCTACATGGATCTGTGAATATGTGTGTATTGTATCCCTGTTCGCGCCATTTTTATATGTGCCAAAGTGTATCATTTTTGTTTTTTCCTGTTCCCCTTCATTTAGAACATTGCCCCCTTAATAGCCTACTTCAATCAGAGGACCATTGATGCCAAAATTGTAAGTGCGTGAAGGGTTTCTTACATGTATACCGGAGTTTGTGGTTAGTGTGTAGAGATGATCAAGCGTGTCATTTATTTATTTTTTTTTTTTCGGGCAGGTGGAACACTTGAAGAGTCAAATAAAGCCGAAAAAGAGGAGGAGGAAAAACAAGAACAAGGATCCATTCCCGGAGGACAAACCTTTAGACGTAATTTTTGGAGTTTCCATCACACCACATTTTTCCTTTCGCGTTTCGTATCTTTCAGGAGGAGGGGCGCGCAAAGGGGGTGCATCCCCCCCAATATGATATAGTTGCATGTGTGTAGCGAGTGGTCATTTAATTGCCCCACAGCAATGGCACTTACAAAACTTGCCCTCTTTTGTTTCCCCCATTTTAGTTACTCAAAACGATGAACACCATGACGTCCAACAATTTCACGACGGAGAACCTTCTGAACATTGAGACGGCGCGGACCAGGGCCAGCGAGTTTGCCTTTGTAAGTTGACCTGGGCCCCACGCGCCTGTGTTGTGAGTGGCCATGATTTGTGGCGAATTGGGTCTAATTTGTGCCTTCCCTGTGTCTCCCATGCACCATGGGGAGTGGACACCCTTGTGGAAGGCGCACCAGGGGAAGTTACCCACACAGCATACACATGCACGTATGAACGAATGTGTACACTTGGTGATGTTGCCCGGTTGACACCACTTGTTCTCATACCCTTCCCCATCTGGTTCCCACTTCTTAGGTCGGCTATAACCAGAAGAGGCTCCTGACACAAATTACCCCCTACGACTACAAGAACATTCTCAATTCTGAGTTTTGCAACAAACTGTTTACCATAAAATGGAGGTAAGCGAGAAGGAGACATGTGTTTTTTTTTCATGCCTCCCGTTAGGAGTGGCCTCCACCTACTCGCCATTATTAATGTGCGCAGAGATAAAGGGGGTCTCAACTTTTATGCACTGCACCTGAGTTACCGCTTATGTGGAAAAGGCCACACACCCAAATGCTCTGTTCTTTCCTCATTTTTTTTTTTTTTTTTTTTTTTTTTTTT